CCCCAAAACCCCAAAACCCCAAAACCCCAAAACCCCAATCCTTTAAAAGAAATTTGAAATAATCTAATATATAATTTTATTCGAGAATTATGGAACCAGAAGGATCGACTGAGAAAGACAGTTGCTGGAAAGGTAATCCTTCCTTCTTCCTTACCCCAGGTCCAGATAACCCATTATTTAGGCACCTCAGAGAAGAAGCTTGATGAAGCTCAGGAAGAGCTTCTGAAAATCTCAGGCATTGGTCATGACCAATTTAAGATGTACAAAGTTGGATTTGAATTTGATCAAAATTATGAATTAAAAGATGATGTGCCTTATGAGGAAATGAAACATAATGAATCTATCGGGTCATTCAAAGCAATGGAATTAGAGAAAAATATTGACCCATATTCTGGAAAGAAGTTGAAACCTAAAAAGCTATACTCAACTCCAAAGTGCTGATTTGTTCCATGTTGTTGCTGCTGAAAGAAGAAAATTGAGAGAATTACCAAGGAGTACATCATGACATATGAGATTGGAGATAAGTCCAACCCGACAATAGTCCTTATTCATGGATATGGAGGATCAGGAATGATCTTCTTTAGAATTTTTAAGCATTTAGCCGAAAAATATCATGTCTATGCCATCGATCTACTTGGAATGGGGAGATCTTCTCGTCCAAAGTTCTTACCAAGGTCAAAAGACGAGGCAGATAACTTCTTTGTCCAGTCGATTGAAAAATGGAGGGAATCAATGGATATCAAAAATCTCACCATAGTGGCTCATTCCTTTGGAGCCTATGTTGCAAGTAGATATGCTCTGAAACATTATGATAATGTGAGTAAGCTGATTCTTTGGTCTCCTCATGGCTGTGAACCTAAGCCTGATGGGTATGAAGAGTTCCTAAAAAGAAGAATGAAAGAGAACTGTAAGTTCAGATGGTTCTTGAGAGCAATGTTATGCATCTTCAAATACGAATGCAGACCAGACAGATGACTCAAGATGTGTGGAAGATGTTGTAAGTGAGCATTCCTAGTCTTTTATAATACTTTTTAAGCAGCTTTTACAATACTTTTTATAAATAGTTTTTGCTATTAATTGCTGCTACGTTACACATTTTATAGCCGGTTGCTTCATCAAAAGATATGTGAAAAGAAGAATGGTTGGACTTGAAGAAGATGAGATCCCGATAGCTTATAGGTACATTTACCAGATCACAATGAGGAACGGGTCTGGAGAAAGAGCTATTTTTAAGTAAGCTAAATAAAAAATCCTAAATTTCTGATCCAGGAGCATGTTGTTCATTATTATATAGATTGATGAAAATGCCGATCTTAGCATACACACCTATCTATGATGAGCTAGACAAGTTCAAGGAGCACGGAATCGACCTAGCTTTTGTTTACGGTGATAGAGATTGGATGAACACTGATATGAATGAAATCAACATCAGTGCCCAGCTGCAACAGAAAGGAGAGAAGGTGTACATTCTTGATAATGCAGACCATCATCTCTATCTTGACAATCCAAAGCAACTCTGAGAGACTCTGGATACTTGCATGTCTGAATAACTAAGAACAAAAGATTAGGCCATTTAAGACATTTCAATAATGTTTTATTTATTTGGGGTTTTGGGGTTTTGGGGTTTTGGGGG